TGAGGCGAGGATGATAAGGATCATTATCCATGGCCTAATACCAAAGTACAATGGATTTATGGCCGCGGTGAGAGGATGGCCTACACAACCGGCTTTTGGTTGAACTAGAGAATTTGTTGGCTAATCAGGAGGCGTTAGCTAAGGAGATGGGAAGTATCACATTAAAAGAGACGGTTGAAGAGGAAGCACTCTTTATCAAAAGAAAGAAGAGTCCACTAAGAGACTGAGAAGATGTGAAGGAGAATTGGATAAGAGGTAAAAGGTGGTGCCCAAAGGAGAGCTACTACTCCGCGGGAGCTCAAAGAAGAAGAGAAGAATATTAACATGAGCTAATGGAAGAAAGAAGAAAGAAAGGTGAGTGCTTCAATTGTGGCAAGAAAGGTCATCTTGTTAGGGACTGCTAGAGTCCAAAGAAGCACTCAGAAGGGGATGTGGCTACTATGGCGAATGTCACCGTGAAGGAATTTCCGAGAGGAAGAGTGGGATGTCGAGGCATCAATCTGCATGGAGGATGAGAGGAAGAGTGGGATTAGTCGGAAACATCAGGTGGCTTCTACATGGAGGTGAGCAATAGAGATCTCATTGGTGAATTCACAATACATGGATTTGACAATGACTGTGAGGAACTCACCTATGGAAAAAGGGATGCCTACTTAGAGGAGATAGAGCATGTACTCTGATGGTAAGAAGTCACAAGAGGTAGAGCATGATAGACCTATAGATGGAGCATTGATTAATCATGGAGATACACCAATGCAATCTGAGGAGAAGAAAGAGGACGTACAAGGTATCTATCTTCTTATACTCAAGGAGCTTCATCCGATCAATGTGGATGATATGGAAGGTAAGGAGGAATTTTGGAGATCAATGTTGAACCTGCTTAAGTTAATTTACCAACATATAAGGAGGCTACAAGGGGGCAAGTACGAAGAAGGTCCAATAAGATAAATGAGTTTGAAGGTTGCAGCCAAGTAGATAACAATCTTGGATTAGTAGAGAATGTGTTGAAGGGAGAGAAATCTCCATGGCATGAGGAAAAGAAGAAATTCATGAATGGAAGAGCGCATAAGATCCATGGACATCAACAAGGATATGATCCACCAAGCAAGTATGCAATAAGGGGGAGTGTTGAGAAATGCAATGCATACTTGGAAGGTTCTAGAAATATGATGAAGATTTCAAGAAGCTTCTAGAATATTATGGAGTATTTCATGAGAAAGGAGGATATTTAGGAGAAGGTTCTAGAAGCTACATGAATAACCATGATGGAAAGATTTAGATATAACTCTAGAAGTATGGAAGTTCTAGAGTAAGATATTTTGGTGTATTAGGAAATATCTAGAAACTAGATACTTCCCATGGACACTCTAGAATAAACATTAGACATGGTTTGACATATAGTAGAGAAATATAGAAATAAGATATTTGTATGGAGTTCTCTAGAATTGTGTTGTAGGGCTTGAATGGTTGACACTTGGCAATGATCTAATGGTGCTGTAATCCTATAAATAGGTGTGCCACCCCTCTCATGTAAGCAAGCAAGCTAGCTATGAAGTAAGAACTATCAAGTGAGAGTGATAGAGATGTCAGAGTAGTTAGAGGTAGACACAAATAAAAGTTGTACCAAATCTATGGTAGTGAATATTAAAGGGACGAGTTACCCCATCACAAGAGTGTGATATCCCAAGCATGTGAAGGTACTCAAGAGTGTGAGTATTAGGGCCACCACAGGACAGGTTTCTACGGTTCATCTCAGAGCTGAGGTAGCCCTCGGATTTTTCAGTAATACTAGTAGAACTTTTGCGAGATCAATAGATTTATCGTTTTGTGTCTCTGTCAATAGTAGTATAAGGTTGTGTTTCTTTACACGTAGAGTACGATAGTGGTCGTTCTGTGATCTTGGAATCTCGATATAATTTTTATTATGTCCGAGATGTTTTATACTTTTGATGAACTTTTATAGCAGGTATGATCCTTTTAGAAGAAGAAAAAGACACAATACATAGGAGTCATACCCCTTGTTTAGACCAAACAAGCTGTGGAGCGTCAGAAGACAACAAACATGACATATTACAAGCATTGTTCTGAATGTCTCCGTCCGAACTGATAGAGTTTTGATTAAAATTTGGTTTTTTCCAGAAAATTAGATGAGAATCATAAATAGTCTGACCATTCTAGAAAAGTTAAAAGTAAATTTGGATGAGCACCTTGAGAGAAACATAGTTCCTAGTTTTTTAATCCAAACGTTTACTCAAATATTGAAATACTCAAAATATATGAAACCCCCAGAAAACTATAAGTACTTTAGTGATTTTGGGACCAAATGTGTTTTGGGGCTCTTGTGGCATAGAAGTTGTGCTTTTGTGGCACCAACTCAAAAAGTTGCATTTTTTTACACGAGTCCTCCAAAGTTGTGATTATGTGGGATTTACTCTATAATTTAAGCATACAGAACAATAGCTTTATGACATATTATCTGTTACAGTTTCTATACTATCATTGTCAGAATGGTTAAAGCATCCCTGGAGATAGTTTCGTAGGGGGCAACAACATGTCCCGAGTGTTTGTCCGATCGAGAGAAAGCAGACAAGCAAAAGCTTGAGCTTTCATAGTTTCATAGGCAATTGGAGATGCGAGTAGCAGGATAGATGTCATCACATGGACGGGCAATCAAGGAGATGTGAGTAGTTAGATAGACACCATCGAGTGGAGGGCAATCAAGGAATCAATTCTCCATCATCATAGACCCCCTTTCATTTTCTCTGAACTATGCATCATAGTAGCTGGGTGTGTGTTGTGTTTTGAGTTGCCTAATCTCAGATGTTTTCTTTTGCCTGATCACAGATGTTGGGGTGGTGGCGATCGGTGAGACTTGTGTTACTTGAAAGTTGCAACTTATGTAAAACTTGATTTTTTTCAATCATTGTTTGTATAGGGAAATAGTTATAATAGAAAAGTTGGGTTTTTGTTTACGGCAATAGTTGGTTTGTTGCGTTGATGAAATCCGAGGGATATCCTCTTCTTTTGATAAAAACTTTAGCATCTTTCATTTTATTATCTTCTACTTTTATTCACGATGTTTCCATAATATTTTTTTAATAAAAACAGCCAAAGGGCATCTTAGATCTGATTATCATCAAGGAAAACAAAGATGAGTACAATGCATAGACAACTGGACGCGGAACGACCAGTAAAAAATAAATTTACATTAAAAAGCATACTAGTCTTCTTCCTTTGATTGAGCGTCGCCCGCCGGAGATTGAAAATTACACTGAACTAATAGCAAAAAAGAGCGACAACTGCAAACGCCCTCGCCATACTAGGCTTTGAAGACTGCAAAAGCTACTCGCCCCTTGAGACGAGATCTAAAAATTGTTGAAGCAGCATCGGTTGGAACATCACCCCGAGCAAAACAGACTTGCAATCCACCACCACCAGTTCAGAGGGTTGGAGAAACCAGGTTAAGCCACAGAACAACACAGAAGAAGATGTCGTAGTCGCCGCACCAAACGCCAGCCAAAAGCGCTCCTTGAAAGACACACGAAATGCCAAGATCTGAAAGAAAGCCAACCAATCTGGGGACACAAATTCTCACAGGCCCTTCGCCGGCGCCGGATCGGACGTCGTTGAGGCAGGGAGAGGCTGAAAAGACTTTATTCCAACACGCCATCGTCGCCATCACCTCGTCGATATCGCCGGAGAAACAAAACCTAAGAAAAACATAACAAGATGGACGGGTCCCCACTCCTCTTGCCGCGATGAGGCCCCCAAACGGGGAAGAGGAGGGGGACCGAGGCAGTGGCAGGAGTTGTGGCAGTGGTGGTGGTGGCGTCTTAGGGTTAGGAGGCGGCTCGAGAGTTGCGCAACCCATTTGGCACTTGGTGATTCTCATAATAAGCATTGTTTTTTATTCGCCGTTTGTGTCTCACTATAGAGAGATAGACGTGAACTACAGTTGGTGAAATTACCTTTGATGCATGTCGCAAAAAAAATGTTTTTTTTTACCTTTGATGCACCTTGCTGAGTGCATTAATACTCTCGCTGTAATGACCAACAGAGTAGCGAAGTCGTGAAAAGCAAAAATCCTTCCCTGAAATCGTATGAAGAATTTGACACCCTGACTGGAAAACTCAAAACAGTGTCCGGGCTCATCTGCTCCCTCTCAGCAAAAAATTGAAAAAAAAACTAAAAAATTCAAAAAATTCTAATTTTTTTTGTGGTGGTAGATAATTTGACGCGTGAGGTGCGTCCTAAAATTCAACTCATTTGGACATCTGAACAGCTCTCGGTATAAAAGACAAATCGGATCAAAACAGTGCGTGAACAGTAAACATTTTTACAGACCCTGATTTTGTCTTTTTTGCCGAGAGCTGCTCAGATGCTCAAATAAGCTGATTTTTGGGGCGCACCTCGCGCGTCAAATTATCTACCACCACAAAAAAAATTAAATTTTTTTAAATTTTTCTAGTATTTGTTTTGAATTTTTTTTTAAGAATGGTGCAGATGAGCCCGGGTGCAGATTAGCTGCACTCACTCTGACTTGTGTTTTCCTCAAGAAGAACTAATGGAGCAGCGAAACAAAGCGCACCGTCCTGTAACTTTTTTGTTCATCTTGAAACTCACCGTCCTGTAATAATATAAACTGTAACATCAAAATAGAACGACGAGCTAATCTGTCAAGTCACCTTTCCAGAACAGTCGAATGCGTACGTGGCGCCACCGACACGTTCGGCAAATCAGCAGTGCGACGCGTGCACACGCCCAGGCTATCCCTGTGTCCGCGGCGACCACTTTGGGCCTCCCGAGTCCCGACTCACATGCGTGCAGTGCACACGTACCCCCTGCGGTAGCCACCTGGCCTGCCAGACCCCGGCCTGTCGCTACGGCATAAATATCAACCCGGCAATCCACTTCTCTGGACACAACGACTCACGACCTTTCTGTAAGCCAAAGAGCAAAAGCTAAAGCCACAACCAAGTCCAGTTTAGGAAGAGGCAGAGATGGAGTTCCAAGGGCAGCACGACAACCCCGCCAACCGCGTCGACGAGTACGGCAACCCGTTCCCGCTGGCCGGCGGCGTGGGGGGAGGACACGCCGCTCCTGGCACCGGCGGGCAGTTACAGGCCCGCAGGGGAGAGCACAAGACCGGTGGGATCCTGCATCGCTCCGGCAGCTCCAGCTCCAGCTCGGTATGATACTTTGTCGACACACACATGTACACATTCATCTGCTTCTGTATGTTTAGATGTTCATTTCCGTGGCTGCTGTGCAGTCTTCCGAGGACGACGGCATGGGCGGGAGGAGGAAGAAGGGCATGAAAGAGAAGATCAAGGAGAAGCTCCCCGGCGGCCACAAGGACAACCAGCAGCACATGGCGACTGGTACAGGGACTGGAGGAGCCTACGGGCCGGGGACTGGAACTGGTGGAGCCTACGGGCAGCAAGGCCACGCAGGAATGGCCGGCGCCGGCACTGGCACCGGCGAGAAGAAGGGGATCATGGACAAGATTAAGGAGAAGCTGCCGGGACAGCACTGAGCCGACGGCTCCGGCTGGCCGCTTCCTTTGCATAGCTACACGCGTCAATGCCTTCTAGTTCCACGTGATCTTTTTGTTCAATAATAATAAGATGAAGCAGAACGAAAACTTGTCTCTGATCTCGTCTGTGTCAGGGACACTTTTCTGTATACAGCGTGCGTCGTGTTTGTTATGTTTTGTGTGTTGTGTCTTCATGTTGAAACAAATTTAGTGTACAACTGAACTTGTTTACATGAGGGTCCTTCTTTTTACCCTTTTTTACCAGTCAACGAGCGTTCGAGTTAATGATTAAAATGACACTTTTTCAGTTATTACGGTTATCATGTTTTCAGCAAAGGTAGTTATAAATTAGATCATATGAACATAAATGATAATATCCTCTATAACATTATGTTTTCGTGTTTTATAGAGCCACATTATTCAATTGAGGTTTTCAATTCAATTAAAATTGAGCACCTAGTTTAGACGGATGAACAAATTTTCAACGCTCTCTCATTCAATACTCTTATACCATATACTACTACTTTTATACCATATAGTACTATAGTACTATAGTTTTCTACTCCCTCTGTCCGGAAATACTTGTCACCACCAAAATAAATAAATAAATGTATTTAGACATATTTTAGTTTTATGTACATTCTTTTTTATTCATTTTGATGACAACTATTTTCGAACGAAGGAGTATTTTTTTAAGGCATCACAATTAATTAATGTTTTTAATTTAGAATTAGCATTTGATTTCAATCTCATAAGGAGCTTCTCAATTCAATTCTTTTAATTTCCTAGGTTCTCAAATTTTAAAACTGATTTATTTAATTAAGCTATTCAATTTTAAATTTGGTTGACAATTTTGCTTTCTTAACAAGCTCCCTAATTCAATTAGTTTAATTCCTGAGATTCCCTAATTCTGAAGCTCTTTCATTTAATTAAAATATTTAATTTTAAATTTGATTTTTCATTTAATTGAAAAATTTAATTTTAAATTTGGTTTATGATTTTGTCGGGTCAATGTTTTTTTCTAACCAATCAGAGGCAACCAGCAACTGGCCTATAAAACATATGATTACGATGCCACTCATAAAAAGGCACCATCATATGACATTGTTGCATTAATATAGTACATTTAGCAACACTAAAATTTCAGAAAATCACACAACAAAAGGCCCATCAAATCATCGCATTAAAAATAAAAATAAAGTACACTCCATTATATCCTTGACCTGCAAAACTAAATATTCCACTGTTCTAAAATATAAGATGCATTAATTTTAAAAAAGACAAATTTCTTTAATTTATTTGATGATGAATCTAATCATTCCGACTTGATATTATAGACTTTAATATATTTTTCTAGAAATTAGATTAAACTTAAAAGGATTTTTTTAATGTATTGTACCTTATATTTTGAAACAAAGTGAGTAATTATTTTAAGAAACCCAACAACACTAACAGCACAGCAAGGCACGGCCAACCATTTTAGTACAATACACTATGCTTCCTAGTTTTTGAGGCCTCATAATCAACTCAGGTCTCCAACTAAAATTTGCTCACCCGATTTTGATCGGATCAAAAATCTATCAGGTCTCTTCCATTTAATTATTTTAATTAATTATGTTCCCTAATTTCAAAGCTCTTTTGCTCGATTGATGTATTCAATTTTGTATTTGGTTTACGATTGATTGAGCCAATGATTTTTCAAATCAATTAGCAGCAACAGACTTATAAAATTATATCAACCCTCCGCACCCTCCCACCACCTAGATAAAGGAAGCATCATCATGTGATGTGATACTATAACACCAATATAGTACATGCAACCACGGAGAGAAATTTTGCCACATAAATATGATTTGATTAGCGGATAACATAGAATCATACAGCAAAAGGCCTACCAAATAACCACATTATAAATAAATATAAAACACACTTAATCATCTCTCCCACCCGCCAAACTAAATGTTCTTTCAGTTCGTAAATATTCTATCATCTCCCCCACTCGCCAATTTAGTTTTTTGTAAAGTCAAATTTCTTTAACTTTGACCAAGTTCAGAGCCAAAAATATCGATATCCAAAATCTTAAACAAAAAATATGGAAATTCATTTCATGATGAATCTGATGACACCAATTTGATATATTTCTCTACAAATTTTATCAAACTTAAAGAGGTTTGACTTTGCAGAAAAGTAATGCACCTTATATTTTGAAATAGAGTGAGTAATAAAATTTAAGAATCTCAGTAACACCGATGGCACATCAAAGCGCCCCCAACCCTTCTAGTATACCCAATAGCCGAATGAGAAGAAATGTTGTATTTTTAACAAAGGCAAAAGATTTGCCTAATTCAATAATTAAGCTGAAGAGAGTTGCGTAGTTAATTTACAAAACAATTGGACAAAACCATCACAAAACGCTAAGCCACACCCACAAGATATCCTACACACATCACTCTGAATAAAGTCTCGTCAAGGTAGCACATAAGCGCCAATGTCATCACTTCTTCTCGAGCACACATCATCATCATTCCTTCTCCCCGAGCAAGCGGGTTCGACTTCGTCGCAGATGACCATCGACCCAACCCACGTCATAGAGGTCGTGCAAAGCCACACGAAGATACATGCCAATTACTTGGGAGCGACAAATGAGAACTATGCAAGGCTGGCACCACGAAAAATCACCGAAGAGACCATCCACCTATCATCATTACCACCCGGTCCCCATCAACGCAACTTCGATTTCACAAACAAAGAACCTGAGGCAAACCCACGAGCACGCCAGTGAAGATCCGGCTACGACCACCATTTCCACTAGCGTCGATCACCCTCATCATCCTTGCCACAAAAATCCCCAACACCATCTCCACATGTAGCCTCCATGACTATTGCCTGCACCAACCTCATGCATCCATTGCTCCCTCAACCAACATCCGCTCCAAGAACGATGCCCCCAAGAGGGAAACAAGACACATAAACAGCACTGTCTTTTATCCCGAGGGTATATAGGGTTTTTGTCGGAGTGGACTATGGTAGAAGGTGAGCACAACCCCTCGATGATGTCTACAAAGGAGAAAAGCGGAACCGGTGTGGTCGTCGAGCCACATAGGTGCGAATTTGAAACTCAGTTTTGAAAAGTATGGACCTTAAATCTTAAAATGAAGATAATAATGCCGGCAAAATAAATTCATCATTTTTCCTTTTGAACAAACAAGCGGTGCTCAAGGCGCAATCCATTCTGCTTTGGGGATATGAATGCACGGAAATCTGCGAGTAGGTGATATGTCTCAAACATATCTATAATTTTTTTAAGAATTCATACTATATTCACATCATTTATATATGCTTTCACACAATTTTATATCATATTAGCTTCGATAACATATTAATCCAGTGCCAAAGGCCAGTTCCTGTTTTCTAGTGTTATGCCATTTTAGTTTTAGAGAACCAAAAACGTAAAAAAATAGAAACTCTTTTATGCCAAAAGACTCCCATAGCAAGAAGATGGAGCCTTGGGGTCCACCAGTTGCCTGCGCAGCCCCTAGCCACGCGGTGGGACCACATGGAGGTTCCTTAAGTTGGTTGGGGCTCTACTTTACCACAATAAAACTACAAAAATAGTAAAATTTCAGTAAAAAATTAGCCCGATCAGAGTTGCAGATCTTTGGTTATTTAAGAAACGGTGTTTCGGGGCAGAAGAGTACAAAAAGCAGGAGACAAAAAACAAAAATCCCATCTAGGGGAGAGCTCCCTCTCTCTCCGGAGGGTCAAGGAAGAAGAAAGGAGGGCGCCCCTTCCCCCTCTCCTTAGGTGGCACCGAAATGCCGCTGAGGACATGTATATATGTCCCCCATCTTCATCACCATCACCACAACTTCTTCCTCTATTTTTGTGGTGATGTGCTACTAGTCCACCCTCGGGGCTGAGAGTATGTACTAGTTGTTCGGTAACGTAGCAAGCAATTTCAAAAAAATTCCTACGCTCGCGCAAGATCTATCTAGGAGATGCATAGCAACGAGAGGGGGAGAGTGTGTCTATGTACCCTCATAGACCGTAAGCGGAAGCGTTTAACAACGCACTTGATGTAGTTGAACTACTTCTAGCTCCGACTGATCAAGTACCGAACATACAATACCTCCGAGTTATGCGTTCAGCTCAATGACGTCCCTCGTCCTCTTGATCCAGCAAGATGTCAAGGAAGTAGATGAGTTTCGTCAGCATGATGGCGTGGTGACGGTGATGGTGATGTGATCCGTGCAGGGCTTCACCAAAACACCGCGAGAATATGACCGGGGGTGTAAACTGTGGAGGGGGGTGCCGCACACGGCTAACAATTGATGTTGTGTGTTCTAGGTGCCCCCCTCCCCACATATTGATGGAAATATGCCCTAGAGGCAATAATAAAGTTGTATTTTATATTTTCTTATTCATGATAAATGTTTTTTATTCATTCTAGAATTGTATTAACCAGAAACTTCATACATGTGTGAATACATAGACAAAACACTGTGTCCCTACTATGCCTACACTTGACTAGCTCGTTGCTCAAAGATGGTTAAAGTTTCCCAGCCATAGACATGTGTTGTCATTTGATGAATGGGATCACATCATTAGGAGAATGATGTGATGGACAAGACCCATCTGTTAGCTTAGCATAATGATTGGTCGCTTTATTGCTACTGCTTTCTTCATGTCAAATACATATTCCTCCGACCATAAGATTATGCAACTCCCGAATACCAGAGGAATGCCTTGTGTGCTATCTGAACGAAATATTCCCTAGAGGCAATAATAAAGTTATTATTTATTTCCTTATTTCATGATAAATGTTTATTATTCATGCTATAATTGTATTAACCAGAAACTTAGTACATGTGTGAATACATAGACAAAACATAGTGTCCCTAGTATTCCTCTACTTGACTAGCTCGTTAATCAAAGATGGTTATGTTTCCTAACCATAGACATGTGTTGTCATTTGATGAACGGGATCACATCATTAGGAG